ACCCCCCCCCCCCCCCCCCCCCCCTTCCTCTCCTAAAAAAACCCTGTCAACTTGATATTCAACAAACGTCAAACATACCTTTAGGCGTTGATGGTTTCATTGCACCATCAATCAAATTGTCTTTCAAAAGTAGAATAAAAGCTAGATAGATATGCCTCATAAAGGAATCGCCTATAAAATATATTGTCAGCCCATCAACAAATTGGCAAAGCTGACTGTGAGTTCTAGATGGAACTTGACAATACTTATGGCTGGGAATCCAGTCGGCATGTTCAGCATTGATAGAGGTCCTCATATCATAACAGTCCTTACAGACACAATCCTTGGTACTTCTACCTTCGCACGCGCCATTGTAGCAACACGGACTCGAGCCTTTTGGATCGCACAAGGGGCGGAACCACTTCAGTCTGATATCTTCAAAAGGCACGTTACCACATTTTCCATCCCGTCTCTGCAAAGACGCTGGTATTCTATATTGATTTCTAGATTTCAGCAGAAATGTCTCCATCCTCTTCTTTTCGTCTCGCGATACTTTGTGAGCTTTCCATTTCCCATACGTCATATACTTCAAAACATCCGGGCATTGTATATCAGTTGATTTGTTTGAAGCATTGTTCGTTGTATTGACCTCAATCATCTTTTGACTAGAATGATTCGATGGTGGTATCAACGTTAAACTGGAGGAAGACATGCCGATTACATCAGCTTTCAAATATGACAATTTGTCATACACAATATGCTTTGAAAATCCAAACAAAAACGTACTAAGTAAAACAATTGTTATGGTTGTGAAAACTTTAGATACTCTGCATGCCGATACGATTGGAAGAGCAGTTTTACATTGGCACGGCATGGCGTAGCGCAATTTTACGATAGACTTCTCACGGGTTCATTACACACAACGTTTCAACAATTTACATCGCACAATACGCTTGTGATTATTGTACACAGCACTTCGACAACACAGTTGTACGGTATACTGATCCCGGGTTCATTACATACAACGTTTCAACAATTTACATAATCAAATACACGACAATATCAACGTAAACTACTCAAGAGTTTATTGTACACAACGTTTTAACAACACTTCATTAACATTTCATACCGCACAATTAGGTCTATACAGTATATTATACTTGGCTTTAAATGTCGTTCAAATCTTACCTGGATTGACCTGTTGTTCGGCGTTTCTAATTTACTTACACCATTAACAGATGTTTATTATAAACCATAGCCTCTATCATCCAGTCTCTTATGTCTATGCACAGCTTCGACGAACTAGACTGGTTGCTTAAAATCTTTGCAATCGGGTCTGAATCTGATTGGATATAAATCCGTTTTTGATGCGGGACATCAGACTAGATAATCCATTGAGCCAAATTCGACAAGTGAATGTCTAATCAATCATTTAATATGACTTTCTGAACCAAAAAATTTCCGTAGCTGTATCACTAAATGGAAAGTGGATGTGGCTAACATGATCCGTTATCGGAAGTATATAAAGCGTTCGACAATTTACTTCCCATCAACAGGTGAGATGGATAATCGACAGGAAGTCGAGTTATTGGTTTCGGCAGTCAACGGTGACCTATGCATGACCCTTATCTGGATGACGTATATATGGTATTTTCTCGCCATAACGCTTATTACAACAAGCATAAAAGCGACATAAATATTATCACAAATCATAAAAACTTATCTAAGACTACCTGTTTATAATACAGTAGAACTATAATAACCAAACTGTCAAAAGAAGAAAACTGTCGTATTGTCCAGATCGTCTAGTAAGAAAGATGTTGATATTCACTGTGAGAGTGCACTGTATGTAATTGATCGGCTCAGATCATGCACGTGTTTGAGAAACCCTTGCAATTGTCCATAGGCCTACATCAATTCATCCATATTTCTTTTTCGACATCCTGATGAGGACTGCTTATCCGAAAAATGAAAAAATATGATAAACTCTAGTGGTTTTTCAACCAGGGGTTACCCCCAAGGAGATCATTTTGAAATATTGGGGGG